TTTTTTTTTTTTTGTGATGAAATTTTAAATTTCGTTACATTCCACAGATTTCCCTTTGGTTACTCAGACTCAGACCTCTGGGCATCCTGCCCCCATTTGTGAATTCATGCCAATTAGTGTCGGTCATAAATAACATCAGACAAGCATGCACATTCACACAGCCTCTGGAACAGAAAACATTTATCATGACACAAGTAGTCAAGTGGCTACACGCCTGAAATGTAACATAGCAACTGTCCTGCTCAATCTGGTGGCGTTTCACACCAAAAAAAAAAGTAATAAAGCATTTAAAAATTCACAAAAGCCATTTAGGACATTAAGATACACAGTCAGTTGCCACATTTAAATAGTTACAAACTGTTTATGAATTCTCCATCTTTTGCAGCACCTGGTCAGCATGAGCACAACTTCTTTTGTAAGATTGAAAAGATTTAGATGATTGAGTTCATCACTGCTGGCAGCAGACAAATGAAAAGTGTCTAATGAGCTGCAGACGATTAAGTGGCCACTGAGCGTAAAAGTTAATCGGTTGAAAAGCACTTGTGCTTTGCAAATATTTAATTATTGTTGTCGTAGTCACAGTTGTAAATGACACATATAGGGTTTCTTATATGTAAACAGTGCAAAAGGTGCATACACAAGGTTTTTTTTTTTCTCTCTCTCTTTTTGTGGTTTGATTTTTTTTTATGTCCTTTACAGGATACTGTAAGTGCATTCAGTTATGTTCCCAAGGCCTATCATTTTATTTTCATCTTTGAGAAAGTGCTTTGCTCGTAATTTGAGCAGTCTTTCGTCCTTTTCGGCTGGTGTTGTCATGCTCTTAAATAATCTATTAGTGACACACAGACACGCACTCACACACATGCAAAACTGAATGCTGTTTAAGAAATTTGTGCAGATCAAAATAAAAGACAGGAACAGTGACATCTCAGGGTTAACGTGTTCATCATGTGCCAACATCCCTCAATCAATAAAAACTTTATATGAGGCATAATGTGTCATGTAGGCTTGTAGCTCAGATTTTGTGGATACCTTTTTCAATATTTGCTTGCCAGCCTGCTGCACAGCAGTCATTAAAAGGCTATGAAGGCTTAACGAGTAACAACTTTAATAAGTGTATTCACCACATGAGTGTTTCACTCTGATTCATTTAATTTTATGAAATTTTGACTTCATCAAGTTATGATTTGGGAATATCTTGTGATCTGTGTAGTAGCCTGTAATTTGGAAACCCATCTGTTGAAAGATGTAAAGCGAATGAATGATGAATGTGTTTACACTGCCAAATGGGTATTCGCTTTTTGCAAACTGGCACCTGGGCTCACGCTACAGATCACATTGTGGAAATGATCATTTAAAATGATTAGGACATTCCTCTTTTACTAGAAAGTCAATAGTGCGTTAATATTGCGTACAGCATTTGGGGAAGGTGTGAGAGAGACTCCAACACCATACTGACAGACAGACAGTGTGTGCCATCTCATTTAGCACTGCACTCAAAGTGATTAGTTGCACACAGAAACCTTGGCTTTAATCTTCCAATGAAAAACAGCGTGACGATCTTCACTGTTTACTTTGCGTCTTCACTTTTTGAGGTAAAATTGTATGTAAATCATTCATAAGTAAGCCGAAAATAGCTTTTTCAATTCCAAAGTTGTGTGACTCAGAATTTAAAATGTTGTTTTGATTCGTCTACAATTACACGTAGCACAGTCGCACTGATAACTTCTGCTGGAATGCACCAATTTATCCCTTTGCTGCAGCATCTCACCTGGTGCAAACACAGTCCAGCATGGTGATCAAAAAGTAGGATGCCTTTAATATAAGAACCTCTAGGAATAGCTGTGCATTCAAGATAGTTATCTGTTACCATGCCAATGTAAAAACTCATCATACAATTTACATGATTTAAGAGGATTGATGAGCCACCTTGCTGGCATGTGGTAAAGCCCGATGAGAAACTGCAGTATGGTGGCTGGTTTTAAAAGTAAAGCTGTGAGGTTGTGCTGTAGGTGATGGAAAACAGCATTTTAATTACAGCAAACCATTAATTTATCAAGGAATGTGTAATATTTGGTGGCATGGAGAAATAGGCCCACACTGTGAGCGCAGGGAACATAAATGAACAAAGCTACATAATTTTGCCCTAGTGTATACAAGACAAAGACACAAAGGAAAAAAAAAAGATAACACTTGTTCTTGTGTTTCAGCAATTTAGTCTCCTGCCTGAGGTCTGCATATGAACTTATGTGCAATGCTGCAGAGAAAACTTTCTATAGACAGCTGTCCTGAATACATAAAAAAGAAGCAGTATGGAGGCAAACCAGGTTTGCTGAATGGGTTCATTACTAATAGACACTATGGCACTTGCCGTATAATATTTAAAAGTTTGACACGATTGTATTAACTATAAGGCAGTAGTTTTAAATTGAAGAAAAAACAAAAAGAAAAACTTTAGGGACTGAAGGTATTCTAAAAATGTCCCCCAGCAACATCATGATAAAGTGTATGTGCACATAACCCCCTTCACCTACATCCATTTCTTTGGTTTGAACTGAAGTCTTTAGCTCCCTCCAAGTGCATCTAAAACACTCTCCAGATTAGTTTTCTCTGTCAATACCAGCATCGCCTTTCTAGTTGTTGTTTTTACAACTTTTTCTTCCCTCCAGTGACCTGGGCACCACTTCTGCTTCCCTGATGGGGAACTGACCTTCCCAATTCCTCTGTTCCCAAAGAAGCCGCACAGTCCCTCCATATGTTTTCCTTTCAAACACAAAATAATAAACCACTGCTTTTCTTCCCCCTTCCCTTTTCTGCACCACATATTTCAGTGTTTGCTTTGAAATATTCCCTCTCTGTCTGTAAGGTTTACACTTCTGTCTTTGTGGTATAACTTTGAGCTCGGCATCTGTGAGAGTCTGGCTTTGCACACTTCACCCTGTATAGGAACACATGAATGTGCACCAACAGTGCATTTAAATGTCAGAGAAAAGTAGAAAAACAAATCTGTTACATTTTAATGCACATCTTATTTCACCAGTCTTAGAATTTTTTTTAGTGATGCAATGTTCGTGTCAGTTACCTTAGAGGTTGTTTTAGATGCACTATAATGGGGTTAATGGGAAGAGATGATAAAACGAATCCAATAATATAGTTATGATGTGGGGTTGTTGAGTTTCAAATATACATAAAAAAACACATTTTAATACATCTCTGATAACATCATAGCACAGGTAAAAACAACACTAACACTAATTTACAAAATATCCCTTAGAAATGTCTTCGGACTCCCTCGTAAGGTAGCTAATGAACTGCAAATGTTTTGGACAACAAAACATATCACAAGAAAAATGTTCAGTAGGCACCCTGAGATGGGAAAACGGATATGAACAGAACTTACTCAGACATCTACGATGTATAAAACACTGTTCACTGATAAGAGGCAATGAGTGTCATCCTGTCAAATTTAATACAAGCAAGTGACCCGCTCCTTACATTTCACTAATGTACTCTCATTGCTTCTCTTTGTTTTACTTTCCACAATGAAAGCATTGACGTGTATCCATGGTGAATTCAGCTTTTTTCTTTTCTAAATAAAAAATTATCACGAACAGCATTAATAAACAAAGATACTAAATTACCTATTAAATGAAAAGCTAAAGCTTTGCATAAGTATTTCAGCATAAATAAACATATCACCACTACATCGTACTGCACAGCATATGATGTAGGAGGCAGAGGAACCTGAGCCCAGTCTAAACTGCTTGCTGCATTCGCAGGGCTTTAGCAGTGAAGGGAGAACAGCTTCATGAACTTGTTGTGTGTCTCAGTCTTTTTGTTATTATGCGGTCTAGAGAGCAGCAGTGCGGCAAATCAGAAATATACCATGACATCTTCTTGAAATATGGATGTGCTAAGGTTAGGAACTAGCTGAGTTGACTTAATACTGTTTTCAGATGCAACTTATGTTGGAGAACTTGGATTGGAACGCACAGTGTGTTTTGAATTGCATAGGAAAGTGTCCACAGGGAACTGTCCATTTGCTGCACTTGGATATTTGATGAAACTGAATAAGTTATTGCATTGCACTTTTATTTCTGTAGATTTAGATGGATTTAATGCTGTGTGTACTGAGTTTCTACCTTAGCAAAAGTACAAAAGATTCACTATAACATAATATCTGTAGTATCAAAACTGATTATGATGCAAAATGACCATTTCTGGTCACCTTATGTAATTTTTTTTATAAGTTTTATTTCACATTTATAGAACTTATAGAAATTTCTCTAATTTATAAGTATAAGTTTGGAAGTATTTTCTTCGGTATTGCAAGAAGCCTAAATAGCCACAACACACCAACTGTAGTAGATATGAAGCATAGCTTATTTGTTGAGTGACTGATTGGTTGAGCAGCATTAGCAGACACACAGGTATCCTCCACAAGCTACATCATGTGCACTAAAATAAAACAGATATGTTAATTAGCACATATTACATGGTTTGATGCTAGTTTTTCTCTCAACTTGTTTTGTGCCATCCATCACCTGAATTAATTTGTCATGTTTATTACTAAGATTTTGTTTCCTGTTGTTCGCAGTGCAAGAAGGTCAAACCAGGCAATATTAAGTATTATGCTACTGCAGCATTTAGGCTTAGCACTTTCACCATATAAAACTCTATCAAACTGATATTATACTGTATATTATCAACAGTGAGACATCATTTCCTCTTGTACTAATCTGACGTTCAGGTGAGGCGAGTTTTACGATTTGAGGCTTCTGAAGTTACTAAAGAGAAGTGTATGGTTACCATTGGCCACCCAGTTTGGTGAATTATGTCTTAAAGTCTACAGCAGCAGACATTAAAGGATATCACATTTTAGTAATGTGTCATTCAGATTGTTAGAGTAATAACAACATGAAACTGCAATACATGGCTTAGCTGTCAGATATAATCTCTAAAGGGTTTTGCTCCATTGACGCAAATCACAGTTATTAAAACCCATCACTGGTAAAAACTCTGAGTTTAAATGATAGAATTCTTCATAACTTGGTAAACTACAAGAAAACAAAGCCATGTCTTTCAGTTTCATTCATTACTTAATACTCTTTAGCTGCACAACTACCTGGATGTAACACAAAACAGGAATTACCATTTAATAGGCTCAAGAATTCAGACTTCATTCTTTGTTTGTGCGATCTCTGACTGACTCGTTGTTATTGAGCGGCGGAGGCGGCGATTGCTTGCTCCTCATGCTCCTTCCGTCCGTGGCGGCTCGTGAAGTCTCCGTCACGAAGAGCCGAGTCACCCAGACGGAGGTGACAATGCGTTTGTACTCATTCCTGAAATTTCGGTTCAGTAAGCCATAGATTATGGCGTTCAGACAGCTGTTGAAGTAGGCCATAAAGTAGCTGACTACAAAAAGCCACTCAGGGATACGAGGAGCCACGCGGGACGGATCAATCGCCACTGCCAAGCCAATCAGGTTAAGTGGGGCCCAGCAAATGGCAAACAACACAAATACCACAAACATGGTGATGAAATTCCGCAAGTCACTCGGTCTCAGGCGAGGGCTTTCTTCTGTCTTCACTTTACGACGCACCTGGACATGAAGAAAACATATTGGACATAATTGTAAATGATGTGAATGAAAAATTCTTTGCTGAGAATGCATTTTTATGAAGTGAGCTTTTTGAAGTGCAGACTTCAAGCTTTTATTCAAAGGGCTGTAGCAAAAATATTGCATTAACAGATTAGTATTTACAGCCAATTTTATACAAGGTACCCCATTTTCAGAGGCTCAAAAGTAACTGGACAAACTAACATGATCTTAAAAGTAAGGATTATTTTTATTGCTCTATTGGGCTGAGATCAGGTGACCGACTTGGCCACTTAGAATATGCAATTTCTTTGCCAGACATCTCTATACTGCTACATACTGTGGTATGTTTCAGGTCATGAGCTCTTCCTTTCCTTCTCAATAGTATGCATCTTATTATTATTCTGGCACAAGTTAACCTTTCTATGCAGATGTTTTGTGGCCGTCTAATCTAGCATTCTTGTTCTTAAGTGTAATAAGTAGTTTGCATTTTGCTGTAAACCCTCCGTATTTACATTTATGACAGTGTATCGTGATCACGGTTTGGAAGTGCTGCATCAAACTCTTTCTTGAGTCGGTTAGATATTATGAAGTTCTTCAATCATTCTATTTAAGTATGTGTCACATTGTTGATTTTTAACTGGTTTATTTATTTATTTTTATTTTTTATTTTTATTTTTGGGGGGGGTGGCACTACAAAAATGGCTATGATTCATAAATAGTTGATGCAGTCCTTTTGTTAAACTATTTTGAATTTAAGCTGAAGGTCACATTTCAATCATATTTTGACTGTTTGATTTAAAGTCTAATGCAGTGGTTTACAGCGACAAAATTACAAAAATTTTGGCGCAGTATTTTCATTGACTGTACATTCACTAACCCACACAGAAACACAAATACGCACTAACCTTGTTTTTTGTAGCTTTAATTAAAATAAAATAAAATAAAATAAAATAAAATTGCGCTAATCATTAATTGAAATTTAAATGTCAACCAAGGATTTTATGAACTGTGATGAGTTTTTCAGTACATGAAACTATTTATAATGTACACTCAGCAAGTAATGGGTCAATTATCCAGGGTTTAAACATAAAATCATCACATTTTTCTATTCTACTCTTGGTGTTTCTGTATTATTTACAGCTGGTATTGTATTTACTGGTTTTGTTGGTGGTATTGCTTTGTTCTAAAAGCTTTAATATAATTTTTGAGACTGTAAATATTAATGTAGAGAGCCTGAAAACTCACCTGAATAACAAGTACCCAAATGCGTAAATAACAAAAGGTAACCACAGCAATGGGAACCAGAAAGTGAACCACCACTACTGCCACTGTGTAGGAACTGCTGACATTCTGGGCGAAGGTGCAGGAGTAAACCCGCGGGTCATAACGCAGGGAACCAACGAAGAAATTCGGGACAATGGCCACTACGGTGAGCAGCCAAATTAAGGCAACAAACATCAAAGTGTTGCGATAGCTGTATAGCCGACTGTATGCGAATGAGTGGCAGATATAGCAGTATCTGTTCACCGCAATTCCAGTGATGTTGAAAATGGAACCGATGACACTGAGCCCCATAAGGAAACCACTGACCTGAACAGAAAGAAAGAGAGTGAAGTGTTTTTGTCAGACTGTGCTGGGAGTATGCTTATTGCTGCTGTAGTGGTGGTAAACTGAAACAAGCTGAAAGCTCTGTGGTCTTACCATGCATTGTGTGTTTCCCAGAGCCCATCCATCATGGAAAAGAGCGTAGAGAACCAGAGGGTAGGGGTAGAAGGCTACCACAAGGTCAGCAAATGCCAGACTCACCACAAACACATTACCTGTAGAGGAAGATATAAAGAGACGCTGTCATTTCTATACATTTGCAGAAATGTGCTCTCCGATCATGTGTTGACTCGCATCACAAACACCATAAATACTGCTCTCTTAGCACTAGCTTTACCCTCAAATGTGAGCATGACGAATTCAGCTGTCATCTTCTCTTTCTAAACATTTGCCTGCAAATGCTCAGTCTTTAGTGTCAGTCACTGTACTGACAACTCTGCAGTACATCTAGAAAATGGAACAAAACCATTACCAGAACTATATATATCCTCATTTTCATTGTTGTCACTAGTCACTTAGGATAATCACCATGCAAAAGGACCCTTGTTGAAACTATTTTAATAATGGAGTTTTGTCTTGCACTGAACATTGTCCAACTTGACCATTTACTACTACTACATAGGATGCAATTTTCAGTGAACTAGGACCCTATCTCAGCAGGTCCAGCATGGTGTGCTTGTTGGCTGTGAAGACAGAGATTACAAAAGGTTTCTACCCTCTGCCCACAGCTGATTGCCTCATCAGACAAAGTTTTATCACAAATGGCAGAGTCAGTGTTTTGACAGAGTAGAAGGGCAGGAGTGTGGACACAGCTCTTGGGGCATCCAAGTCTTTTTTTTTTCCATCTGGCTAGTCCTCTGCCCAATTCAAAGAATGGTACGGTCGCTATATCTCAATGATATAACTACAGCCAGATTGGCGTCTCAGGTTGTGTGATTAATTCTAAGTCAAATATATTTTGCTTGAAACAAAACATAAACAAACAAAAAGGAGAAAATGGCAACGATGAGAAAAATTGAAAAAGATTTGGAGGAGATTAAGCTGTCGCTTAACTCGTTGTCAACAGACGTCGAAAGAATAGTTAAGCAACAAGGAATGTTAACGACTTTAATGGACCAAATCAATGAATTAAAAAGCTTGATTAAGGAAAAGGATAAAACAATCCAGCTCTTAGAAAGGAGAGTGGAGGATTTAGAACAGCATGCACGACTGGAGGACGTGATTATTACCGGTTTGGAAACCAAACACAGGAGCTACGCAAGAGTTACTGAGACTGGGAGTGGTGTGAGGTCTGGCGGAGATGAGTCCCCGGTGGAG